TTCAACTTGACTTCCTCTTCTTTTTCTACAAGTTTGAGGTGCAGCATTAAGTTGTTTATGTGTGTTCTTTCCACTTTCCTAATATTGGTGGTTAGTGCTATAAATTTTCCTCTGACGACTGCTTTCATTTTGTCTCAGTTTCCAGTATTTGTATTTGCATTTTTGTTTGATTGTAGATATTGTTTAATTTCTCCTTTAATTTCTTCTGTAACCCATTGGTTGTTTAGGAGAATGTTCTTTAGTTTCCATGTGTTTATGGGGTTCTTGTGTGTTTTTCTGCCATTAATTTCCAATTTTGTTGCACTATGGTCAGATAATATGCATGGAATTATTTCAATTCCTTTGCATTTTCTTAAGCATGTTCTATGAGATAGTATATGATCTAATTTAGAGAATGACCTGTGTACAGCTGAGGAGTGTGTATTCTGATGTGGTTGGGTAGAACACTCTGTAGACATCTACTAGGTCCATTTTTTCACAAGTTTGATTTTTTTTTTATTTCTTTGCTAATTTTTTGTTTGCTTGATCTGTCTCTTTGTGACAATGGGATGTTAAGATTGCCTGTTATAACTGTATTATTATTTTGTTTTTCATGCCTATTAAAAGTTGTTTTACATAGTTGGGCGCTCCATATTTGGTGAATATATATTTATGATTGTAATTACTTCCTCTTGAATTTTTCCTCTAGCAAGTATGGAGTGATCTTCATCATCTGTTTTGATCATTCTTGGTCTGAAGTTCACATTATCTGCAAACAAAATAGCTACCCCTGCTTTTTTCTGGATTCTTGTTGGATGGAGTATTGTTTTCCATTCTTTGACTTTTAGTCTATGAATTTGTTTTTGAGTTAAATGTGTTTCTTATGCACAGCATATTGTTGGATTTTGTTTCTTTTCCATTCTGCCCATCTGTTTCTTTTTGTTGGTGAGTTGAAAGTATTTATATTGATGGATATACCTGATATGTACTGACTCATTACTATCATATTATCTTCTGTTATTGGTTTTCTGCCATTTCTGTATAACTGTTTGCTCTGCTTAGTGATTTCCTTTTGTTGTTGTTCTTGGGATTGTAGTTATCTTTGTCTCTTTCTAGAGTGTCTTTCAGTAGTCTTTGTAGTGTTGGTTTGGTGGCCATGAATTTCTTCAGTTGTTCTTTATCATGGAAGTATCTTATTCCTCATCTATTTTCAAAGATAATTTTGTAGGATACATCAATTTAGGTTGAAAGTTCTTTTCTTTCAGGACCTGAAATACTTCACTCCAAGCTCTTCTTGACTTGAAGTTTTGTGTTGAAAAGTCTGCCATGATTTTGATAGGCTTTCATTCATAGGCGATCTGTTTCTTTTCTCTGACAGCTTTTAGTATTCTGTTCTTGTGTTGAATTTCTGATATCCTTATTATTATATGTCTGGGTGAACATTTACTTTGGTTATGGTTAATTGGGGTCCTATATGCATCAGTTATCTGTATATTGGATTATCTTCCCATGTTTTGAAACTTTTCTCTTATTATTTCTGCAAATAGTCTTCACAGGTCATTTGTTTTGACCCCTGCTTTTTCATTGACACTTAACATCTTACATTGTTTCTCTTTACATCATTTTGCAGCTGTTGAATCATCATTTCCTGGTTCCTTGTTATTTTTAAGAGATCTTTTCTTTTGTGGTCAGAATCTTCCATCTTGTCTTCTAGATCTGAGAGTCTATTGTCAGCTTCATTCAAGCAGTTTTGCCAGCTTTCAATGGAATTTTTAATTTCTCTAATATCCCTTTGTATCTGTTTCATGCATTCTAATTCTGTTTTATATTGTCCAGTCAAGTTTCCATCATTTTCTTATGTTCTATTTTTAAATTTAGATCTTTGGATATACACAGCATTTCTTTCATAATGTTTGTCATTTTATTTTTTACCTGTGGTATTGTTTCTGAATTGATTTCCTCTATAATGTCATGGAGTTGTTTCTTTACTTCATTTGTTATCATTTCAGAAAGTTCAGTTGTGCAATTTCCAGTGTCTTCCATTTCAGTGTCTGTTGGGTTTGTTTTTGTTGGGCTTGAGGACTGAGACTGCCTTTTGCTCTTTTGTTTTGTCACTTTCCTCTGGGATCCATGTGGCTGATCAGGCACCCTCTTGATGGATTGCACTGGAGCACTGCACTAGGCACTAGGCAATTTCAAACCTCTGATAGCTCATGGCTAGCCAGGGCACACCCTGAACTACGGCACTGGATCCTTGTGCTCTGTGGCCTGTGAGGTTGGTTGGGTGCTCCCTGATGCACTGTGCTTGGTTGCTCTGGGATGCTGGGCTGGGCAGAGGTTGGATCCTCTTGCTGCTGGCAGTCTCCAGGAGTATGTTGCTGGGATTTAGCACCTGGTTGAGTGGAGTTGTGAACCTCTGGCACCCAGGTGGCTAGTAGGGACACATTCCCAGTGTGTCATCAGAGCCTAGTGCCTGGCTGGGGGGAGTTCAAAACCTCTGGGACACAGATGGCTAGGTGGAACACGACATTGACTGCGGCACCACCTGGACCTTTACTTCTGGCTGGGAGGACTTCAGAGTCTCTAGAGTGCACAGCTAGCCAGAGCACATCCCAGGCATATGGTGCTGGCTCCTGATTGGGCAGAGTTCAGAACCTCCAGGACCCACTGTGTGACTTCCTCACCACTTTTAATATTCTGTACTTGTGCTGAATTTCTGGAATCTTGGTTATTATATTTTTATTGTAAATTTATTTTGATACTTGTTATTTGGAGTTCTATATGCTCCACTAATTTATGTTAAATTCTTAACCCATATTTGGGGAATTTTCCTCCATTATTTCTGTGAAGAGGTTTTTGTGACAGTTATTTCCAGCTATCTCACTGACTCCAGGCAATCTTACATTTTTCTTTTCTGTTTTGTCTTATAGCTGTTGGTTGATTTTTCATGGTCCCTTGCTATTTTCAATTTATCTGTCTTTTCATGGTTGCTAATCACAGTCCTGTCTTCTGGATCTGATATTGTATCTTTGCCTGTTTAACCTGTTGCACATACTTTAAATGGAATTTTTAATTTCCTGGATATCTGTTTGTGTCTGTTTCATAGCTTTCTTTTCTTCCTTATGTTGGGGATTGATATTTTCAATCATTTTTCTAAGTTCCTATTTTTTAAAAATGCACACCTACTCTAGATTCATTGGGCATGACTTTCGTTTTGATCATTATTTCTTTTTTACCTGATTAATTTTTCTATGTCACATCCTTTTGATTTTTCACTTATGCTGCTATCATTTCAGAGATTTCCAGTGTGTAGCTTCTGATTTCTATCTCATGCTGTGGACTTGTGCTGCATGTGCTGGAAGTCTGCACTTGCATTTTGCTTCTGGGTCAAGTCATTTTCTATTTTTTATTGGTTTTATTTTCTGTGTTGGTTAGGGCTGTTTTTTTATGGTAGGTAGCTTTAACACAATTATTGAGGCTTCCCTAGAAAAGGTCTATTCTTCAGAGATGTTTCTTAGGTATAGATCATTCTTCGTCTTTGTGTCTACCCCAAGAATCTGCTTTCCCAATTTACTAAATATGAGCAGTTGCTATCTATTTGGTTCAGCACCCTGTCCTTTGGTACTGGGCTATGGTGATAGTTATTACCCCAGAGAATCACAGTGTTGTCATACAAGTGAGAAGATCTGATTACATGTATGACATCCTGGTTAAAGTATTACAATTAATAAAAACAACAACAAAAATAGTATCAAGGACAGCCTAGGAACTGATAAACTGTGGTAACTATTGGTTCCTTAAACCATAGGAGCAAGGTGTACAGTTATATGACTAAATTCATCACACACCAAAAACTTGCATGCAATCTGCTAGGTAGATTAATTTTATTCTGTTTGGGGGCATATTTAAGAGGAATGGGGAAAAATAGAGAGATTAATGAGGAGCTAGAGCATAGAAACACAGCTGTAAGGCAAAGAATAATCTCCCAAGTTTTGGGAAACCAGAGGACAGTTGCAGGGGTGAAAAAGCTGAAGAAAAACTAAAAGAATATTGGAGAAAAACAAAGAGAAAAGCCTATGTTTACTCACAGGAAAGTAGCAAAAGAAATTCAAAAAGAGATATTTGAGGAAATAAAGACAACCAATAGAACAAAACAAAAATAAAGGTAAGAAATCCCCAAAATCAAAACAAAACACCTCAACCAGACTGAAAAAAGAAAATCACTCAAAGAAACAAATACAGTTCCTCTGTTGTTCACCATTCTGTGGCAGTGTTCATGTGGGATCCCAAGTGTTGTGTGTAACTCTACCATATTTGCAGTAGGATTTGTGCTGCATTTGGGGCTTATCTTGGCCTCTGCAAGTGGAATCTTTATCTGACAATGTTTTAGATGTGCATTTCATCTTACTGTGTTCATCTCTCTGGCACTCTCCCAGTTGCTGTGGCACTGTTGGTTATCTCCCAGATCTGTGTACAATTAGCCCCTCTGGTCATTGCACAGCTTCCTCTTACCGGCTGCTGGTATAGTGGTGGTGGTGGGGAGCCTTGTCCTATGTCACAGGCCAAGGCTACTTGCCTGCTTGCACCACTGGAGCAATCTAGGCAATCTGAGCTCGTACCTTTTAGTCTGGTCACCAGCTGCCAACAGTCCACTGACTGGATGGCTCTTCCCGCTTTCTATTCTATGACTTCAGTAATGAAGCAACCCAGCAGTTTGTTGCTTGGGTTCACCCTGAACCTTTTGAAATAAAATGGTGACCCTATCTCCCCACTTTTGTTCTGCATGTTTCTATACCAAGGCTCAGTACTGGTTCACCTCATTCACCAACTGCTGGCTCTGCAGAACTGCTCAGGACAGTCTCATTGTGCTGGCAGGGGCTCTGGGCTGCTCTGCTGGGACATGCTGTGATTGAATATATGTACTTTTCTAAAATCTTCTGAGAAATGTAGCTATAATACAAATTTTGGCTACCTAGAATTTTTCATTTGTTTTAAATGACTTTTTTTTTCCTTTCTTTTAGGCACATCATCTTTGCTCCAAGTAGCCACAACAAATATGCTGGAGAGTCATTTCCTGGAATTTATGATGCTATGTTTGATATTGAAAATAAAGCAGACCCTCATTTGGCATGGAAAGAAGTAAAGAAACATATTTCTATTGCAGCTTTTACAATTCAAGCAGCAGCAGGGACATTGAAAGAAGTGTTATAAAGGTGTCAGTCAATTGGCTATTAAACGTGTGGATGAAATTTGTCATTTTTTGATGACTCATGAAGCCAAAAGGTTTTAAAAATCTGGATTTTCATGTCATGGTTTAGACTTCCACTTCATTCATCTGCAGAGATTTTGCTTCTTGAATTCACGCTGAAAAAACTGAAAATGGAAACAACTCAAATGTGCAGTAACAGAGAAGTTGGTAAATTACGATATATCCACAATGAAATTCCAGTCAGCAATATAAAACTGAAAGAACTATGCAGTCTTCCTGACAGAGGATGCATTAATAAAGGTACCCAGAAGAGTACATAAAGTAAGAGTATGTAAATTATGAAGATGTGGCAAAATTGGTGACATAAAATCAGTGACTGGGTAGATGGCAAGGGCAGAGGATGGCTACAAAAACATACCAAGTTTTCTCAGATAAATGAGTGTTAAGAATGTTCAGCTGAGTATTGCACAGGTGTATACATTTGCCAAACTCATCAAACTATAAATTTAAAATGTGCACATTTTACCATCCAAGTCCCAATAAAATTGGTTTTTAAAATTTCATTAAAAAATAAACATCTGTGTAGGGAAATTAGAATAGTGTATCTTCTCAAGTAAAATCAGTATGAAACACAAACAGTTAGAAAAAGTGTTATCTTTGCTTTATTGAAGAAACATTTAGGTCAATTTGTTGAGGAAATCTCAAAATCTCTTACATTTTAACACCTATAGAAATTGTATCAGAATCCGCAAGCTGCCATGCATAACCTCAGAATTATAGAAAAACATTGTCCAGTTACTTTATTGAAAGAAATTGAGAATAAAAAATTAAGAGCTGTTACAGGCTAGCACACTAAAAAAATGACAGTAGTTTGTAACTTACTGTTCCTTTGTTTTTTTGTCTTTAATCAATAGCTGACCATAAGTAAGAGCGTGATTTTGTGGAATGCACTATATTTAGTCCATGACAGTAGGTATGGCTATGTACATCATGTTGAACATACAGAACATGTGTTCTAACCTTTTTCCCCCCCAAGGGTTTCCCTTAAGCATTTGGTATGAGTCAGATTTGCTATTAAAACTCCTTTCATCTCATTGTTTGCTCCAACTTCTATTATTTTTCTCTTAAGGAAAAATCGGAAATAAGTTCTGTATTTTGCTCATCATAATGTATTAATTTTGTTATTTATTTTAAAATCAAATTTAAACAATCCATAAATTCCTTTAATGCAGTAATCTGTTTTAAAAAAAAACTTTAATTTGGAAGTTATCTAATAGGAAGTTAGTAAGCAATGTGTGTGAATAAAGTGCATATAAACCTTAACTCAGAAAACTCCCCAAATGTTTATACCGAAAATTGAATAGAATGAAATGTGATACAAGGATTTTTTTTCATCATGAGAAAGTGAAATGACTATTAACATTAAAAATACAGCAGTAATCAGAAAAACAATGTACATTTTTCATTTATTTGGGTAAGTTGTCCATGACTTACTTTTGCAGAAATGGTGATAAAATAGGTATCAGACAAAATGTCTTAAGTGGCTACCTTGGAGTGGTGGACTTCAACATGACTTGAATTTTCTGTATTTTTCTGAATTGCTTAAAAATTTATCAGGATATACTCCCTTTATAATGGGTTAGATAATACTTTTGTAAGTTCTGCTCGGTCTGAGAATTTAAATGTTGATTTACATATGCATATACATAGACCACCTTCACACAATTCTTATTTGTTTCAGAATTTCACATACAGAAATTGGACTTTGAGCTTTTAGGCAAATAAATGAAATCAGGATAAAATAGTAAAAATTATACTACGTAGAACTTAAGTTTGCCATTGTTTGTAACCGTGGACTCATTTGCTTTGTTTCTTCTATCTTTTCAGTGGCTCTTAAATTCATCCACTTCTGATCTTCAATGTGATTATTCAATATGTATCTTTCACTTAAATGTCACCAACTTCCTTTCACTCTTGTATCAGTTATACTGACTTTGGCCAGAATGATCTTCATAAATAAATGTAATCATATAAAAAAATCCTTCAATAGTGATCGCAAGTCTCAGGGATGTTGTAATTAGCAATAGCCAGTAAACAGCCAATTGCAATAGCAAGTAAAAAACATGCAGGTATTTTCAGATATCAAAACAGTTGCAAAAGCACTGATCATACAGCATGTCTTTGAGTCTTTAGATAGCTGAGACAATCAACTGTCTTCACTCCTGGGGCTTATTTGGATTCCAGGCATGGGTTAAAATTCAGGCTTCCCAAATACTAGGTATTTTACTAGAGGATAATCAGCAGAAAATGTGATATCCTTGCTACTACCAGTGTACTAAAGGATTTCCAAACTCAATGTTGAATTATTTGCTTAAGAGGTAGCAATGGTAAAAAGTTTGGGAGGTCAGCAAACAAGAGTCAATGTTCCAATACTGTCTCCGAACTTAGGCCTTTGTACATCCTAGTCTTTATGGACTGGGCTTCCCTCCTACTGGCCCCTAGCTGTGTTTTGTTTTGCATCAGAATTCCAGTATTTGTCCTTTGAACAATTCGGAAAGTCCATTATATGAGCTCCACAGCAAGTTTATAGGTTGATTTTTAGCATCATTTTTATTTATTTTTTTGTTTTCCTTTTCAGAAGCTTTCCTGGAAGCAGATTATGTTTGACTAATTATACATATAACAAGTGAACAAAGTATTGAATAAAACAGAAAAAAGCCTTAATACTATCATTTGAACCAAGAACACAGAAAACATTAACATCTCTATGTTAAAAAAAAAAACAAAAACAAAAACAAAAAAAACTACATTGTTCAAAAGAAAAAAGAAACCATTTCAGGGAGTTGGGGATACAGCTCACTGGTAGAATGTGCCTAATACACCTGAAGCAGAGTTTGATTTCCCAGCACACGAAGTCCCCAAAGCTGCACTGTAAAATATAGCTATATCATACTTTAATCACTGATTCTCAGATTCAAGTGTCTGTGATAGACTTGTGTGGTTTTTGTCTTTCTTCCCCATTTTTCTGTTAACTTTGACCATATGGGGATGCGAGATCCATTACAAATGGTGGGGACTCAAAACTGCATTTAGTGTGTATGCATCAATCTTTTGTTGCATTTACTTATTTCCATGCCCATGTACCCATACTACATCTTACTCAAAGGCAGTTATTTTCTAGTAAAATGCCTTCTACTTCAGAATGCCATCAACTTTGCATCCTAATCAGCTTAGTGAAATAATGAAATACTTAAATCATGCCTGCTTACTTACAATTTCCTATACTCAAGTGTGAGATGAGGCCTCATGGTAAGCTTCAGATTTTAACACCCTGAATAACTTCATGTTAATTTGTTCAGATTTTTGGACTTAGCAGCCCCACCGAGAAAAATCATGTCCTCCAAAACCTTTGTCTCTATTCTTTAGCCCCTCCATTTCCAAAAATGTAAGTGATTTTATAATTTCCTATCGCATAGTTTCAATATCCTGAGACTCATCTATCCTTCTCATCCTTTCTGTTGTATTTATGCCCTCACACTACTGGGCTCTCCTCCACCTCCACATATTCTTTCCTAACAAATTCATCTAGAAATAAACAGTATCTAGATAAGTTTCAGATACCATTTACCAATAAAAAGTATTATCAGAGAAATGGCTAATTCTAGGACTTGGATAGAAAACATACAGAATGGGAACATCTTGAAATACCAGAATACAGTGCTAAATAAAAAATTCAAAGTCACATAACACAAAAACAATGCAACGGGCATGACAAAAGAAAATGGAAACCAACCTAGATGTTGCAATAACCTGGAACAATTTAAGCAACCTAATACTTAACCCCAAACAAAATACACACATTTATACTCTACACCTTACCCATAAGTGGTAAGAAAGCAAATGTGTGCAGAAAAATTCAAAGGAACTTCTAGAAACTCTTCTTTTGAGATGGAATAACGCATTCCCCTTAACTGGAAAAATATGGCACTTTGGTTTGTCTTTCCCCAAACATGTCAGTTTATTTAATAATATACTAGACAAATCTCAGCTGAAGGACATTCTAAGAAATAACCAGTATTCCTCAAAACTTAGGGTTTTGAGCCTGAGAAGGTGTCAAAACTCATCTATTGAAACATGACTAAATACACATAATTTGGGTTCCTAGATAAAACACTGGTAGAAAAAAAAAAGACATCTGACAAAAACATTTAAATATAATTAATGCGGTTTTCAAGAGGACACAAGTTAATCATCCAAAAAACCTCCATTGATCATCTCATCTAATTTGTTGGGAGGAAAAGGACCTCAAACTTAAGGTCCTCCCTTTTTAATCGCTTCTTTTAATTAGCTAAATCTTTTTTTAAAAGCTAATCTGATCACTTGATAGGAAAGGGAATGACGAACTACTTTCAAACAATCTTTAAGCAACATAAAATGCTAAAGTTCTTACTCAGGAGGCTAAGATAGGATCGTTGAGTTTGAGACCAGCTTGGGCTACAAAGTAAGCCCAAGGCTGGCCTGAATTGCAGTGAGATCCTGTCTCAAAAAGATAACATCATAAAAAAAAGCTTAAGATTGTCATTTTAATTTCACTTTAAGGGATATTAAAGATGGCCTTTAAAATTAGAAAACCAAGAAAAATCACTAACGATTATTTAATGATGATTATCATCTTCAGAAAACTATTCATGAAGCAGCTGGGCATGGTAGTTCATGTCTCCTAGCACTCAGGAGGCAACAGGCCAGAAGACTGCTTCCAGTTTGAAGCTAGCCTGGGCTAAGCAGTAAGAATGTCTCAAAATCAAAAACTAAAAACCAACCAATGAAAATCATGATGGACTTCTTAAAATCTTAAGTCCCTGAAAACATAAAATCAAACAACGTGCAGGAAAAACTTTGCAAGCCTGGCATTTTAGAGATGGTGTCACATTCAACTATACACATTTATTGCTACTTAAAATTAGCAACACCAGATTAATTTAAGTTGTAAGAACAGATGTAAGAATACAGTTGGGTGGGTAGTGGGGAGATAACCTATTAAAAAGGAAAATGAAATAATTTATTGATAATACCTAAATAGACTGCATTTCAGAACTCAAACCACAGACTTATACTGGCAGAATACAAAATACGTATCATGCATAAATGCCAAGTCAAAATAATCTGCAAAGAACAAAGTCTATTAAATTTTAAAAAAGTTCCTTCAAGGTGTGGTAGCATATGCTTGCAATCCCAGTACTTGGGAGGCTGAGCCAAGGGGACTGCTCTAAGTTTGAGGCCTGCCTGCAATACAGGGATAATAAGTTCAAAGCCAGCTTGAACTACACATAGTAAGACTGTGTCCTAAACAAAAAAGAAGTTACACAGTACATATCGAAATCCTCTAAAATAGCCTATCTAATGAATCTGTATTTAAGTTTACTATGGAGCTCCAGTGGCGCAACGAGCTGGCATACAGTACTTACATATACAAGTTTACTTACTGTGGGTATAAGCAAGACACACATTTTCAGGCTTGGAAATAAGTGATTTTTTTTTTTTTTTTAAATGGGGGTTAGGTAAGATGTAACTCAAAGGGCCCATAAAATATTTCCAAGAATGTTTTAGGATCCTGTTCAATCTTTGATGGTTGAAGAACTATTTAAAGAAAACCAAACAAGCTGGGTGTGGCAGTGCACATCGATAAGCATAGCAAGCCCCCTGAGAAGCTGAGACAGGAAGAGTCCAAGTTTGAGCCCAGACTGAGCAACTAATTAAGATCCCCATCTTAAAATAAAGAGCCAGGGATGTAGCTCAGTGTGAAGGCACTGGGTTCAATCTGCAGCAATAAAGAACAAAAACAAAACAACAAAAACACAAGTTGTATTTGCTAAGAAAATTCCTGTCACAAAATTAATTAGAACCAATTTTGCACCAATACAGTTACACCAGTAAATTACACTAAATTGTAAACATGGAATTTCAATTCATATGCTTGTTTATAATACTTCAACAGTACAACTAAAAATACATGGGCTAAAATTAAATGTTCTACTTACAGAAGAACTGTACTACATTAAGGTTAATTTTTAGTTTTATAAATGTTCTATGGGTTTGGAGGGTTTTTAACATAAGGAGATTAATGTTCAAAATTCTGCTTTTTAGAACTCCTTTGTAAAATATCTAAAAACAAAAGTTAAAATGAAGTTACATAGTACATTATACATCTTGCTTTTACTGCTGTGACAGTAATTCCTTTTGATGCTAACACAGACAGACAATTTCTAGAGAAATGATTCAGTAAAGTCAACAAGCATTTTTTATTAACTTTGAGAAATTTATAGAATAAAACATTCTATCTAATTGTTATTGTGTGTATACATCATTCTAAGGTAAGTATTTAAATTTTTATCTGGGCAATATAGGTTCTTAGGAAAAATGAAATTATGACCAATGAAACTGGTCTATATAGCTGTATAAAAAGAAATGGTGCTTTTAACTAAATCAGAGAATATTTTACTTGCTTTAAATAACAGTTCAACCATAATAGATTAAGATATGTTCAGGAGAAAGCAGCCTCAAGAAGGAAACATTACAATGACAAAAGAAAAATTACTGTGAATCAAATTAAGTATCAACCTTTTTCTACAAACAATAAAAAAACTTCATGTCTCTAAATGGACCCAAGTTTCTACAATGGGAAAAGATGCAAATCTCTTTCAATATTGGAGATTTATGTAATCTTCTTACTGACAAATTTCTTGCCATGTTATTTCAGTGTCAACATGCAAAGCACAGCTGCCAATTTTCTGCCTATATAATTGTGACAGAGCTAAATCTTTGATCATGTAATTAACATCAAATAGTTATTTGCCGACAACAGAATGATATATACCAAGTATTAACTAAAAAAGTACTTCAGCAATTTCTAAGAATCCTGTAACTCAAGGGATTTTGAAAAATAAATCCCTTTTACTTTAATAAATATAAGACTAATCTCGAAATCTATTAAGTTCTGCTAGAGTTCTAAATTTTCTAACAGTTCTAAATATACAATTTCTTCTGGAGCTCCACACTGACTCAAAACATAACCTGTTAATAGATGCAATTGGCATAAACAATTGAAATTCTGTGTTTCCTGCATTTAATGGAAATGAAGCACTGTAATTAATGCTGTCACTACAATTATAAAGCTCTTCAGGAAAGCTTAACAAACCTGAAAAAATTAAGTTAACTTTATTGAACATGTAATAGTTATCATAAAGCAAAACTACTATCCTCCAATGTATTTCCACAAACCTTCATGTTTATAATTTTAGTTTTTCATCCATTATGGAAATCATCTGTGTATTTCTTTCTGTAAGTAACTTAAAGATTAAAAGACTTAGATTGCAAATCAGGTACAATTTAATCATTAACACCATACAAATAATCAGCAGAGATTTCTTAACATTTATTGCTTAGTCCTATAAAACGGTGAATTTTAGCCAAATTGATACTTGTATAATTTTATTTCATGTATTTTAAATCATATGCCTGGCAAATAATATAGGTATCTATTTCTTAAATTGTAAAAAAGTTCAAATTTGTTAGTCAGCATATTCCCTTTTACCTACGGGATTCTCAGAATTAATCTTCCTAGAAAAACTGTCCACATAGGGAAGACAATACAGATTTTCCTCAAAAACTTTCAAGTTTTATAGGAACAACATTCCATGACATATTTTGTAATTATGGGACAAAAGTTCTTTAAAAAGTCCTACATTACTTTTGTGCTGAATGGTATACTGTACTGAGAAATCCTGCAATTATATTTATGAGTTATTGTCTAGCTTCAAGCATGGGACACACATAGGAACAGTCAATCTTACAGCTCTCAAAGGGAAAACAGAAGACAAAAAGATAACCTGATTTAGGCTTTTAAAAGCCTAATGTTAACCCTGAAATGCCAGATTTACAAACAAACAGCAACAATAAAAGATTACAGCAGCAAGCCACAACTTCACCACACATCATTATGATTTCTGAAAGAGGCAACAGCTTTTTTCCTTTTTCCATTCAATCTGTATTATCTTTGTTTTGTTTTTCTTGTTTTTTGGTTGTAGGCAGTTCAAGGCTTGCCCACTGCATAGGTTCAGCTTTTCTCATGGATATCTCAATCTTTGTAGCAGTCATAGTTACATAACTTCGTTTTACATCAATCACCTGTAATAAAGAGTTACAGTAAATTTGGGTAATAGTACTGTATGAGGAAAATATTGGTCTTGCTTATGTTAATACTACCCATATCAAGGCTCCAAGGCCATGTTTACATCTAAATTTGAACTTTTGGTAAGCTACAATACAACATTATATTATATGTCTATACTTTTCCATCAGTATTTACTAAAAATACTGTCATTTATTCTGCAAAAGATATTTTAAATTATCAGGAAAAGTCAATGGGTTCATAATACTTACACCCCATAATTTCACGTTTTGATGAAATTCTTTTTCTCCTTCAAATACAATGTGTACATTTAACTAAAAAAGATGCAGAAAGTTGGTTAGCTATTTTGGAGTCAGCTGGAGAGCAAACCCAGGGTCTTTAACCACTGAACTACACCCTACTCAAAAGCTAATAAATTCACATCAAAGGTTTATAACATCAAGCACCAATTAAAAGAGATTCTGATATTATGCTATTTTAAGAAATTTCTAATACTGCATGATTTATTTAAGAAAATCATGAACAAAAAAAATTGAAGTTTCATAATAAGAACATTATATTTTCTGTTAACACCTGTAGTCTACTAGCACCTCCAGAATAGGGAAAAAAATTGGGTTTTTTATTTGAAAGTTCTTTTCTTTTAAGTAATGGTCTCATTATACCGTTCAGGTTGGCCTTGAACTCATTATATAGTGCAGGGTGGCTTCAAACTTGAGGCTACCATCCTGATTTAAACGCCCAAGTGCTGGGTTCACAGGTGTACACCACCAAGCCTGGCATTTAAGATTTTATGCAAGTACTTCAAAATTGTTTTTTCCACGTGGAAAGTGTTTCAAGATTTCAAAATCAGCTGAAACAGGAATGCTATTTCATAATACATTAAAATAAAAACTGTGTGCAATACAATTTTCACTCAATTATTCAGTGTACTTACTGATGTACTGTTTGCTTCTACTCGACTAAGATCAGGAAGTGAATTTTTAGCATATACTGAAATGGTGACTTCACCTCCAGTCTGATGCCAGTCATGTCTACATGGAACAACTTTTTTCCCCTGGAATACAAGAGAAACGTTTTAATAATGAAGTTATTTTAATTTTGGAAGGTATATTTCTCATGTTTAACCATATGTTACTTATTAAAAAGTGACAATTACAGAATACCTAAATGTTGAATAAATCTCTAAACTAATCTGAAATATTTATTCTTTTTCCTTTGAGAAGGGGAGGCCTTACTATATAGTTCAGGCTGGCCTTAAACTCACTTTGTACCCTATGAATTTGAATTTTTGCCTCAGCCTCCTGAGTCCTGGGTTTATAGGTATAGGCCACCCCACACAGCTATAATTATTTTATAAATTAAAAGATATAAAGGTATATATTGGGATTACTAATACCAAACACAGCACAGAGGATTAATTTACTTAGCATACTATAAAGTAACAGTAATAGCTAACAGATAAATATTCAGCAATATATTGCTTTCCTTCCTGTAATTTAATAGGCTTTTAGGGAATTATGTGTACAACTGCTTGTCTTCTTATAAGCTGTTCAAGGAAGTAGACTCTTTTTTTCTTTTAACTTTTTTTATTGGTATGGGGGATCAAACTCACGACCGCCTGCTTGCAAGGCAGGTGCTTATGCCACTGAGCTAAATCCCTAGCCCCCTTTCTTTCTTTCTTGATAAACTTCTCTGTAAAAAAAGAGAAATTCAAAAGAACTCAGCTGAAACAAGTCTGTTGTCTCCTTTTTGAAATGTTTTATATCCGTGAATGGTAGAAATTTTAAGCGGCCAGAAAAAAATCCAAAGTGTCAATATTTAGTAACATTAAAATTAACAGAACAGTAATTTTTAAAGAAACAAAAAGTGGCAACAGGCTTTGAAGTTAATTTTAATAATAAAAGACAAAGAAGAGGCTTCAATTTTGGCAAGCTTGAGTATTTCACAAAAATCCAAATACCTGTATAAACAACATAAAATAGGTACCTTGCTCAATAAAGAAGTGCTATGAAAGCTCTATTCAAATTAATTTCATTTTGTGAGTATGTTGTTATTGCATGATAAAGAGAACATTTTTAAAAAAAAACTAGAGACAGAATAAACTGCGATCTCTTAACATGACTATAACCCAGAGCATTATTCTGTACAGGTTACTTACAGCATCCTTTTTAGTCCACATGTGTTTCCCTGTTGTACAGCCTTCTTGGGCTAAGAATGTATTAAAGTCAGAGGTTTTTCTTCTGCAACAACTCCAGTATTTCATCCTTTAAGTTATTACAAAAAATATTTCAGAAGTAAAATCTCAAAATTAGATCAAGAAGTATGAGTGATGAGTGACTTTTTCTTAAATTCAGTGTGCAACTTTAGTATAGTAAGTCATTGGACAGTTAAAAATGTATACACATCAGGAAAACTAGTAACTAAAAAGTCAGCATGGCATTTATTATAGTGATTTTAGAACTTCTGAAGAAAGATACTGCAAACATCACAAAATTCCAAGTTAGCTTTTCACCGAAAACTCATACTTTAACTTCCTCATGAAGCTACCAAAATGCAGGATCAAAGATTTGTAATCCTCACATTGTTACCCAGTAAGCAAAGAACATGAAACAAAAATTAGCTTACACAACCTCTGATGGTCAATCATAAAGCAGGAGAAACCCATTATTACTTGAGAAAAATCAAATGCAGGAATCTAAAACTTATAGTGAAACTTAAGATTTAAATCCTTTACACATGTATGGAAAAAATAACCTTTTCATTGAGGGCTGTGAAAAAATATGGATTTTTCTCAGAAGAGGATGCCTTAATTGCCCTAGGGGCAAAATTTTTAAACGCCCTGAATACGCAGCATGATCCTTCAAATAAAGGATGAGTTTTGTCCAAAGTGGAACACTACAGTAAAATATAACACATAATAAAAAAATGTAGGGTCTGAATTACAATGATTATGAAGTAAATGTAACCTTGTTTTTCTTATGTGTTTAAAGAAGACAAACTTTCCATTTTTAGGTTATTGTGTAAGATAAAATAGCAATGTAAGCAAATGTTCAACACGTACAGGAAATAACATTTAAAACATAACTAAGTTTCCAACCCCTACCATAGAGTATTTTAATTAGTCATGCATAAGTTACCCCTCATGGAAAATAGGTACTCCAGAATGATACACGCAGACTTCTTCTAGACTCTGTAGACCCTGATACGTCTAAAAGAGCAAACAGAGAAACAGATCTGCATCAGATACATGTCATATGTATTTGTAGTACTAGTTACCTCTATAAACTGAAAAGTACTCATGAAATAACAACAGTTACTTAGAACATTGATTAAATTCATCCAGGCCATCCCATTAAGGAACGAAAATAATTCCCTTTTAGACATGGTTAAATTTTAGTCCCTGTGAGAAAGGCAAATAGAAAAGTAGGCAACAGGTTATATTAAGATGCTTTCAACTGTTTGGGTACGAGGTCTCATCCAATCATATTCACATATTTAAATTTATAGAAACGTTGAAACCAAGAGATTAGTACTCTAGACAGAAATACAATTACAACACGATTTATGTGTACAAAATATCTCTTGGGAAATCTAAAAGCAATTCTGGAAGTTCTAGAGTGGTGATTTATTATCCCTAAAAATGGTAAAATGAGCTGCAGACCTATATATATATCCATGGTTTGTCTGGAAGATCCGGGCCCCATTGCTGCTGTAGATGAAGGCTCTACAGATGAATTCACAAAAATTTTATGTTAATAAAACACGGATGCAGCCAGTACTATACTTTCTTTATATTTTTGTATTTATATTATCTACCTACAAGTACAGAAATAAAATTTGGTGTTTATTTTTTGTAAATCCAGGCACTAGGTGCATATATCTCCTAAAGTATTACATAAATATACAAATCTCAGCATGTTAGATTTTGAATTTATCACTACTGCCCCAAAGCCTATTTTTTTCCTTTCTTATTTGATACTACCATATTCACTGAAGTCTCCCAATGTAAGACATTTTAATTTCATCTCTTCCTTTACCTATATTTAATATATCTTAAAGTCATGTCAATTACATTTGAAAATATCAGCTTAGTTTACTACCTTACCAGTAAGTTAGGAAATCTTATGCAATTAGTTATAATGTTTTTCTCTATTTCTACTAACTCCTCACCTTTTAATTTCTGTTCATACAATTACACTGTCATTCTCCTGTTTGAAGCCCTTTAATTATAGCCCTGAAGTAAGCGGTATTTAAGAGGCTGTATCAGCCATGAAGGCAGAGATGTACAAATTGCTTTTCATTAAAATTAAAGTGCCAACTTATTAAAGCCATTATCAGAATACTAAAAAGACAGTAGTATTTCTGACAAAGAACCTATATTAAAATACACGAACAATTAAAAATTGGTAAGAAAAGGGTAAAACTATAAAGAAGTCCTGGACATTTTACAACATGAGATACAACTAATAAATACACTAAAAAGATATTCAATCTCATTGCTAGTGAAGTGCACATTAAAGTCACAATGAGAACATCACATTCAATCAGAATGGTTAAATAAAGCATGAAGTAAGTGAAACCAGCTTCAACACTATTGGTAGGAATATAAAGTAATACAACCAGTTTGGAAAATGAGGTGAAGTCTATTAAAGCCAAAGGTATACATATAATTTCATTTCTAGTCAAATAAACAAATATGTACAAGTCCCCAAAGTCATACATAAGACATGCACAACAGCATCATCCGAAAAAAAATTTTTTTAAAGGACAACAGAAAGAAAAGCTTAATTGTGGCACATTTAAACAATGGCATCATACCTTAAAACAATGAAAAAAAAATACAGCTACATATACAAAAGTGAAACAACACACGTTCTGCTTATATTAAACTTAAAAAACAAGAAAAACTAGTAATCATTGTTGACTGAAAGATGTGATTACCTTTAGGGGAAAGAAAGATGAATGTAAGAAGCGTAAGGAATACTCTATATGCTGAGGTAGTCACATTATGAAAATTCCTTAGCACTAAACTTTTTATTTGTACATAATTTAACAAATTTCAGTGAAAAATTTAACGGTCTATTGTCTACAGTAAGGTTTAACTTCTAAGTACTATTAAAAACTTAAGATTTGACCACTATCCTCCTTTTCAGTTTCACAACAGCAAATGGTAAACTATTCCTATTATCTACTATTTTCTTTATACTATTGCTGTCACCTTCACCAGGACTATTTTTTCTTTTTCAAAACTCACTTGGTACCTTCTCTTTGATCTTTCTCCATTACTCTAAAATTTCAATTGCCTTCTCACTCCAAAAACTGTCATTCCTTTTTACCTGCATAAAATTCATGTAAAAATATTTCTATTTCCATCCCCCTTGGTAAGGTGACCTTAAATATAAACAGGAGGGAAAAATAAAAGGCCCCTCTGCCAAGTGTTCCATTTTCTTAATAGTATCACCAATCACCCAGAAGATTGAGCCACCAACTTCTTTCATTCCCAATTTATTAATTGCTAATACTTTCCAAATTGTATCATTCTTTCTACGTGTATTTGCTATGAGCTAACTACTGTTCTAAAACCCATTGTACAATGAAAATAAATGTAAGCTGGACATAGCAATAGACCTTCGTAATTGCAGAACTCTGAGGATACTGAGCCACTGAGACTCTAAGTTTAAATCCAGCCAGGGCAACTTACTGAGACCCTGTCTCAAAATAAAAAATAGAAAAAGGTTTGGGACTATATCGCAGTTTATAAAGATACCAGCTTCAATTCCTAACACTGCAAAAATACAAAATAAAAGAAAAAAAGCAAGACTCTGCCTTACATGGGGAAGACAGTACTGGATGGTATCAGAATGAATCAAATAAGGTTTAAAATGTCATGGAGAAAAAAAGAGAAGGAGAGAAAAAGTGTTCACAATGTATGCAAACTTAAGAGTAAGCAGCCAGTTGTGCTGGCACACGCCTATAATCCTAGCACTCAAGAGGCTGAGGTAAGAGAACTATTGTAAGTTCCAGACCACCCTAAGCTACAAGTGAGCTCAAGGCCAATCTGAATTGCATAGTGAGACCCTGTCTCAAAAAGACCAAAAAAGAAAAAAAGAGCATTCTTAATCCCACTGTTACAACAGCATCTAAACTTGTTCTGATAGAATCCATTTGCTACTCATCAAAGAAACCAAGCTTGTCCTTAAAACTGGTAGTGGCTTCTCTTTATAGTTAGAATAAAGCTCAAATTCCTCATCATGATTTATAAAAACCTCCATAATATACCCTATTTTCATATTACTTGCACATCTTTGCCCATGCTGTCATGATCTTGCTATTTCTAAAAACCCACGCTGTAAAGCCACTACACCCTAATTTTTATTCTTCCAGACTTGCAACTCACCTAGTACCTTACTGAGAATTGTAATTTATGTCATCATGTCACCAAAATGAACTTCACTGACAATCTTAAATACTTCCTACCTGGATTCACTCTAGTTCCTTATTGTTCATTGTTTGTTGCCATCTCTACCTGACTTTATAATATTCAGTTGTTATGTTGTTCTACCCATAACAGAATATTAGTTCTACAAAACAGTGATTTCTGTTTTACTTGATATTTTTATTTCCAGCTCCTATGTCTAGTATATTTTAAGTGCTTAGGAAATGTTGACTTAATTAGAATTATTTATTCTCATGATTTTTATCAGGTTTCATGTGCGCTCAGTCTTTTATCCAAGTTTGTAGTCTTAGTCCCTAGCATATTCCCCTAACATGATAGGTACCCACTATGTGATAAACTAAGAACAATGTATACTTTCTTCCAAATTAAAAATTTACTTTAAAATGTCACAAGTAAAACAAAAACAAAAGCACAAGTTTTAATACATACCTTTGAACACCCTCCATTTTTACATGAGGTCCCAATTTTAATTTCATCACTGTCTTCTTCTGCAGTGTGGAAAAGAAATTACATTAAGGTCTTCATTAAAGTAGAAATGCACTAGCTATTCTTAAAAGCATTTTTCTACAAAATACGTCTTACTAGAAGTCAGAAATTGTATTTAGGTGTTTAACTTTTTTTCTTTTTATTTTAAAGAGATTAAGACAAAAGAGGACTTAATATTAGGTTTTGCTTATATCCCAAATGGATACATGACACATTTCTATTCCAAAACGCATAGCTTTGTTCAGTATCTTAACTTTGTGAAAGAGATTACGAAGGGTGTTATATCTCATGGCATCAGGAGACATCAGAAAATATTAAGATATATACTACAGATAAAACATTTTCAATTGTTGAAGAAATGTAACACTTTTATAAGATCCTCATTTTTAGTAGATAATAGAATGAACCACATATTCACTCTGCAGTAGTATCAACATTTAGAAAAAAGTGCTTCCAGCTTGTGAACAGATGATTGGCTAAATAAGAGATGCTATGTATATACAAGGACATACTACTTGGCTATAAAGAATGATAAATTTGAGGCATCTGTAGGAAAATGGAAACACCTGGAAAACATAATGTTGTGTGAAATAAATCAAGACACAAGCTTGAATACCATATATTATTCCTCAAATAATATATTAAAGAAGGCAAAATATAAATAAAGAAAACGAGAAAGACGGATACAAAGAGGTAAGGGGACAGATGTTGCACAAAATATGGTACAACGGGAGAAAGGGGAAATGAAAGGAATAAAGATATGCCATATATAGGAACCTACAAAACCTAAATAATGTGATCATTATAAGCCATAACATGTGCTAAGAAAAATAGTATCAACAGATACAAAAAAGGTGACTGGAGAATCCAAACTGCAATATGTACATATAAGTACTCCCTCAGATAACAATGAACTACATACAAACATATACTAATAAATAAGAAACCCAACAACTTTAAAAAAAAAAAAAGGAAAACAAAAATTGCTTCACCACAACGTGCTAAATTTGCACACCACATTTAGTACTCAGTAAATGCTACCTCTTAGATGACTTAAATAATGTAGAATAAAACTAATAAAATAAAACTAAGTATTACCTTTCTTATCTTCTTCATTCCCTGATGACAGTTTAAGTTTATCAAGTGCTTGTTTTAGAGAGGCAGATATTTTTAATTCCAAACTCGTCATTGGTTCATCTGGGCTATAGAATTTTGAAATTGCACCATCATTATTGTAATATACCAAAATAGTTCTTTGTATTCAACCATAGAACTTTATGAGAAGTTAAATATTGTAAATAAAGTTAGTACAGTAAAAAGTTTCACAAATTTGCTAAGATCTATATTCTAAGCTTTAACAAAAAGCTTCTTATACAGTGACATTTCATAATGGTTAAGTTTTGCATATACAGTTTAGGTCTACCCAGATACAGTGATGCATGCCTGTAATTCCAGCTACCTAGAAGGCTGGGATGGGGGAATCATGATTTTGAGGTCAGGTTATGCAACATGGCAAGACCTTATCCCCATTCCCTGCAATAAATTTGTTTATGCCTATTCAATAAAAAATATTAATAATGGCAACAATAAAAACAAATTCATTCTACATCCACGATGAAAAGACTGACAAATGTTAACAACACTGTACATGAAAACCTATATCCTAACAATCTTTTTAGTACCATTAAATTAATATGAATTTATTATAAACTGTATTTTCCTCACTGATTTTTAAGAAAAATTATTACTATGCTACTATTTAGGGAAAGTATTAACTTACAACAACAGAATTTTTGTTTTTTTTTCTAGTATATTAATTGGCTAAAAAGGTATTTGGTAAATCTTTCAAAAGTATGACTGGAGACAGTGATATTCTGAGTAGATTCTTTAGCAATGATCTTCAAAGTGCATGAGCATCAAGACTCTCTAAGACTGATCTTGGGCTGATGTTACTAATTCTTTGTACATTTACTTTAGTAATATTAATAGAAAAAAGTTGGAAACATCCAAAATTCTAAGCATGAATTAAAGTTTCCACAAGGATAATCAAAGGAGGAACACAAAACCATTTGTTTAAATTCCAGTTTGGCTCCAAAACAGTACTCAAGTGCAGTGTGAAGACCAGAAATAACAAAGTAAATGAAATACTTATGTGTGGAAATGAAAAACAGTCTTATTTGGTCAGGTAATTATGAAGTCTAATTCTACTTCAAAATGAGCAAGACTTTAACTAATAAATACAATAAAATTCACCAGTATTTGAGAATAATAGCAATTTTCAGGCATCTCACAATGAAATGAGTATCTTGGCTTTTTTTAAAGCTCAAATCGATTCAAGGCAAAAGCAAGATGTGTGATTTCGCCACCACAACAGCATATGTACCTATAATTATAATGGTCCAATATGCAAATCTGCAATGAAATTTTACTGTGTACATGCCCTCAACTTGAGAAGAAAAACGAAAGGCTTGTTTAAGAGAAAAAAAAACAGGGGCCTCTATAGTAGCTACAAATACCATTATGCAAAATGATACAAATGAAATAACAGAAAGAAATGCTATCATTTAAGCGTGTCTAAGTTAAACAATTATATAAAGTATACCTTGGTCTTTTTATTGCTTCTACTGGTTTTGGTGCTTGAATGATATGTTCCTGAAACCTGGGTTTCAATTCAGACAGTTCTTTCTTTTCAGTAGTCTTGACTTCTGGCTTGACTGGCTCGGGTGGTTTCTCACTATTATGCCTACCTTTTGTACAGCCCTGGGAGTGAAAGGTACTCATTAGGTGTTATTGTTCATCTATCTTATATATCATGACAAAAATACCTTGAGTATATTGACTGACTGGAAGAAACCATACAACTCAAAATGTGACATATTATAAATGGGTTTTTATATCTGCATAAAGCATCTTTTTAGAAAAAGCTTTTACAACATTTTATGTACAAGTCTTAAACCAGTTCTAGTTTTTCCAACTTAAAAGCTGTAACACTGAAGATCATCTTTTTATTATGTTTGCTCAACTGTGAAGTGGAGGTAATAAACATTTTTCTTTTTCAGTGGTCTACAAAGTAATAGTCCATTTCAACGGTATCTTAGGTTTGATAAAAATTTATTGTTTTTAATTGAAAATATGTTAAAATTATTATTTACCAGTTCTTTCTTTTTCATCAAGAGCCTAAAATGACAAATGAGTAATTGCTATCTTAATCTGCAAAGTGGACAAACTATTTTAGAGGCTGTGGAAGGAGGATGAACTCCTTAAAAGCAAAGTGTTATGTCACAGTTAATGATCAGTCAATATACATCAGAAATCAGACTTCTCAAATTTGCAGTTTCTTATAAGTATGTATTTCCATAGGTAATCTAGAAAAAAAACTTAGTACTTACTACAATACTTAAGAAGTCAGAAAAATCAGTTGTTCTTCTTTTACAGCAGGACCAACCCTATGAAACAAGGAAAAAAAAACCCTGAAAATTGCATTTCCATGAGAACAATCATTCAATAAAATTCTTGTACTTTTCCTTATATATCCATGCTTTAGTTTAAATGGTTAGCCTAATAAAGTAAAATGATTCTTTGATTAACAAAAAGTGCTAAGTGATTTGTGTTATGATCTGTCATCAAAGGAGCATAAAATAGTTAAAACTGAAATTACCCATTTTAGATAATAAACAGCAACTGGATTTTCAAAAGGCTAACATAGTTTTTAAAAATATAACATATTTAAAAGACATTGAGTAAGAAGAAAAAGTGCTTTAAATAACTTAAGAGAAATTACAATCTAGTTTTTAAACAGCATCCATCAAAAAAGTTACCTGTAAGAGAGAATTTCATTTATACAGAATTATGTAAAATACTAGGATGCCTACATGTTAAAACAAGATACAGACCGGGTGCTCCCAAATGGTAATCTGGGTCCAACACTAGTCCTCAGTTAAAAAAAAAAAAAGGGATGAAATTTAAGTATGTGAGTATAATTGTCTTCTTATATGCAAGATTGTACTTTTCTCTGAATTTTTTTCTCAACAACAAAATGTTTTTTGTTTTGTTAAAACAAGTTTAATTTCTTACTTCTAAAATAGAAACTAGTAATTTTTTATTTGAAATTATCGGGCTGCAAAATCAACAGTCATAGGAAGTCTAGACTTACAAAAATGCTTACAGAATACAGACAATAAACAGAACTATGGAAGTGAGAGTAATACATAAATGGATAGGATTTAAAAATCATTAGTAAAGTGACTTGTAGCCAGACATGGTGGCACATGCCTGTAATCTTTGTACTTGGGAGGTTGAGGCAGCAGGATCACCACAAGTTTGAGGCCAGCCTGGGCTATATAGTGAATTCCAGGCCAGCTTGAACTATGTAGGGAGACACTCTCTCAAACACAAAACAAAACAAAACAAGAAACAAACAACAAAAAAAGAAGTAATGTTTAAGAACACAAACTTAATGAGAGAAAACAGAAAATTAAATACTGAGCTATGATATACTCCTACTTTAGGGAAAAGGAAAAAAAAAGTCGTAAATAATGGTCTCAGAAAAAGAAAATTTCTCAAAAAAGATGAATCTCTCTCAGAACTGCAGTACTCACCTCCAGCAACATTTGTAAAGAGGCTAAAAGATGTAAGGTGTCATATCTCAAACTGCCCTACTGAATGTTGATTTCTTTACTCCGGTATGTGCTCTACAACTTTGTTTAGATTTGATTATAAATCCATTAGATGCTAAGAACCTAACTATTCTTTGGAAGGCAAAATTAGAAGTAAAAGGAAATCACACATATTTAAACAAAAGACTGCATGTTTCTGAGAAAAGGAGTATTACCTAAAATCTCAGCAGCTGCACTACTTCCTTTTCAAACACTATATACAAAATTCAAAACTACCACGTTATCAAAACCTGATCAAAAAACTTATTATTTCTCAAACTCTCTAGAGCATGAAGGCAATAGAGGTGAAAAATTGGTAACACGTTTCTTTAGCAAAAATACTATAAACATAACAAGTCTGCCCCGAGACTAGTACATTTCTTTGTTCATTCATTCATTCACCTATTTGAATTTGGTCTTGCTATGTCATTCATTCATTCATTTCAGACAGGGCCTTGCTCTGTAGCCCAGGCTGGCCTCAAACTCTCCTCAATCATCCTACCCCAGTCTCCCAAGTACTGGCATTGTTGTACATAACAATCATTTCTAAAATTCAAAACTGTGTTCATTAGTCAACAGTGAGACTGAAAGAATGAGAATCAATATAATTGTTTCTATTTCATTTTTAACATTAAGGTTAAGAAATCATTAGGAATGAGATTTGAAATAGATATAAAGTTATTTTATAAGGAGAAAATATCACATCTATTGCCTTTAGTGATGTACACATCTAAAGTACCCTTCAATGATCATTAGAGAAGTAGACACAAACTGAGGAGAAAAATGAAAAAGTAAAAATTTAATATATCTCTAATTTACTATATAAATATGAAGAAACTAAAAATACATATAGTTCCTACCTTTAATGCATCATGAAAGACTGGAACACCAGGATGGTATGTACAAGCATCTGGTCAAAGATAGCAAAAATAACATTTTTTATAACGAAGAGAAACATTTGTATCACTATTTCCTTCATGAGTTAAAACTTAACTATTTTACCCAAACACTTTTATCAAGTAACAATGTTCTTTAAAAATTCACTTATGTTTATGTTTGATGCACAGTACAAAGAATAGTTAAAATTTTAATTCAAATATGACCACTATAAAATATAGAATAGTTCAAAACTAACAACTATTATATTCCTCTATTCTTTGTGGTAAGATTTGTTTAGTATCAAAACTTCAAGCCCCAAAGATATGACCATATCTCAATACTCACAAAATTACTATCAAATTGAAGTGTACTTATGTGCACCTACCCATAGAGGATGCTTAAGATTCCTTAGCCCGTTCTCCTTTCCCATTATACCACAAATTTTTACTTCATTTTCGTATGAAAATGAGTTTATTACAATTAGCAACGTGTAGCATGTATCCTTTAAAGATCCTGTAGTAGAAACACTTCGAACTTCTTGACTTGATAGTTTTATGAGTTCATAGAAAACAGGTCCATTCTGTATCTCTGTAATTTTCTTATAGGGCTACCTCTAAATCTTTTGGCTCTGTTTAATTTCCTGCTTTTTACACCCTGTGATTCTTAGTGCTACTTTAAAATGATTTTTCAAACAGTGAGAAAGTTCTCTACCCCATATTAATAGCCACTATTGCTTTCTTAGTTACCTTGTGGTATACAGATACTGTATTAGTCTACCTCATAAACGTTATATTATTTTCCTGATAGATACATAAATCATAAATTACGAAGTGACTTTAATTAAGGATAGTTTAATTAAAAGCTGAGAAATGTTTAGAAGCAGAAATGCACTGTATATGTAAGACATGAAATTGAGAAGACATAAATGGAGAATACAGCATTGTTTCATCATTTAACATACAGAGGCATAAAGTGTAAAACGTATAAAAGTCTGCCACATAAAATAATCACGATAGTTAGCAGAAAGGCAGTAGGAATGAGTCAGCAGAAAGGCAGTAGAAATGAGTCACATCTTAGCCACACACAGCAATACCTTGGTTCATGAACTTAATTCTTTCCATGATTTTGGTTGCAACCGAATTGGAAGATAACTAAATCAAATTCAAAGTAACTAAGTATGAACAAAATTTAAAAATCACTACTTTCAAAGGCAAAGCAGCAGAAGATGAACATTTTCTTTCCGAGCCTGTATTTGGCTTACCTACTAGTTTTTGCTTGTTTGATTTTTGAGACAAAGTCTCACTATGTAGCCCAGGCTGTCTCCAACTTGAGGTGATCTTCCTGACTGAGCCTCCTAAGCCTGTGTCACCATACCCAGCTTTCCTGATCAGTTTTGCTCAAATATTTTATATGTAAGATGATACAGCACAGTAATGGTTTGGCTTTTATTACTGGGGCTAACCCTGCCTAAAGTACAACCGTTAGTATTTGTTTCAGTTTCTCCACAAGCATGAATTAAATAAAACACTGAAAGTTGTGCTTTTTCCAGCACAATAATAATTAGCACTTATATCTTTTAAACATCTGCTTAAAGTTTTTACAAACTAAAACATCCTATCACTGTAAGTCTATTTTTATAGAGAAAAAGTTTGTAAAAAGATGAACTAAGTCAACTAGCATGTAATTGTATCATGGCACCAAGAAAGGTTACTGAATGGAGAGTTTTAAGCATGATGGATCCAGCATGGCTCTGTTCAATAAAGAACTTGTTCATATCTTCAACTTTTATTCCTTGTTTAGTCAGTGCACAAGGCCAACCCTCTAAAATTTTACAAAACTTTGTTCTAGTCAAGTCAAACATTGTCTCCTGAGTCTCCATTTTCTTCACCTTTCATTTACTCAACTAATCTACTTGGTATATTTAACTTAAATCTCTATTAAATAATTTTCACACTGCTGATGTGAATACATTTTCATCAATTTTATTGTATTTCCTGCTGTACTTTCTACTATTGACCACTCAATCCTTGAGAGCTCCTCTTTTTTAGCCTCTCCCTTTTACATTTTTAGACACTGCACCATCTCACACATGGACACACTGATTTCCAATGAACGGTCCTATGTCCCTCAATTTCAAACCTAAATACAAGTCCATAAAATACTACCCATATACCAAGAAAGACATTAATACAAGTTTACAGTTAAGTAGAATATACATACAAAAGCAATTTTTTAAATATAAATGTGAGCATACAACGTGAATATTAGTGGGATTTAAAAGTATTCATTTCTCAAGTTTATCATTTACTGATACGTAGCTTTTCCCCTGAATGAAATAATGATATAAAAATATCATTGGCACTACCTTTGTTATTGTACAGCCTAGATTTATCTTTTCTTTAAAATCCTGTACCAATATTAATTTAAATAAAGACATCGATTTACCTGTGCATCAACCAATATATTGCAAATATCTCAAGAGGTGCAAAAAAATTTTAAAGGTATCTATTTTAATTTCCTATTTTAATTTCCTGTTAAGCCACAGTACTACTGTAATGAAGTTGGACGCTCTATTAAATGGGTCTCTTACATACTTCACAGGATTGCTGTGAAGGTTAAATTAGATAATAAAATGACAAAACAAATTCTGGTATACAAAAATTGCTAGCCGACACCGACAACACATCACACAATAGTCAAGGAATCAGCTTATTTCTTGATCTCATTCACAAATCAAAAATTAAACGGCATTGCTCACTTTCAATCGTTCACCTACTGTGGTCACTTAACCCTCACTTTTATATCTCTAACTCCACAATTAGATGCTGTTGGAATCATTTGCTTATTTCAGGCCGAAGAAGATATATGTATTAAAATACAGAGGCCACAGCAAGAATATGTAACAAGCGATGCTGAGTCCCGGAAGGCTTAGTGAAAGGTATCATTATAGCGGAAGTATTCATTTCCCTTGCCAAAAACACTATTAAAGTTTATTTATACTGGGGATTTTCCTCACTGGCACAGCGCCTGCCTGGAAAACGTGAAGTCCTGAATTCGATTTCCAGTACCAAAATCAAAACCAAAAAAGCTTTTTTAGATCAGCGGCTGGGGTAGGCTTTCAAACTTCTACACTAAAATAAAAATTTAAAGGCCAGCATAACCGGCTGCCTACTCCTCCCACACCTTCTATCGCTGTCTCCTAAACCCATTCATCCTACGCAATCACAGCCAGGACTATTTCGGGAGCCCCAAAGACTTAGAAGCACCACCTTAACTTCTGCTTCTCAAAGACAATGGGGAGAAGGGTGTTTATTCAAATTTCCACAGGAATTAAGAGCAAGGGCGGCGCGAAGACCGCGCGCCTGGCAACCCCGGATGCACCTCGGCCCTCGCGAATGGGCCTCTCTCAGAGGGCTCGGCATGGAGTCCGGGAGGCGGCTAAGGACGCGTTTTCTCTTACCATCGGAATTGGTCTCGGGATCGAAGCGCTGCCCGCAGCCCCGGTTGTAGCACAGTAGGGCCATTTTCCTTTCCCGCCGTTACAGGCTGAGCCAAAACACCGGGAACCGCAAAACTTGACGACTGCAACTGATCTGTTCCAAGTACCAGTCGGGTGGCCTGGGCGGCTGCCGACTTCCGGAAACGGCCGGTTCCGCTTCAGGAACCTTCGCGAATTTTCCGGTCGCGCAGGCGCAGAGGAGAGGGGGACGAGGGGGCGGGAGCGGCGGCGTGCTGACGTGAGCGGCGCTGCGCTGGATTGGAGTGAGGCGCTTTCCGCGGGATCCTGCGGAGAGCGCGGTGTTTGTAGAAAAGGCACTTTAAAGAGCAGAAAAGCTACGGGAGAGCTGACGCTGTTTCCAGATGGAGTCGCCTCTTATTGACCTATGGTATCTGGCAACGAAATCTCCGTACTCTCTTCATTCTCCGCGTCCCAGCAGCATCTTTTTTGGGAGGCTATAATTATTTAGCGATGTCAGCCTTTACTTCTTAGCTGCTTGATAGTAAGGACAGAGTTGTGTATTCCAAAATCTCTGCGTAGAATGTGGGACGTTAGTAAATGAAAGGAATCGTGCACAAATTTCTGTTCGTGTGTGTGTGTGTGTGTGTGTGTGTGCGCGCGCGCGCTCATCTCGAACACTGAAGAAATGCAGGCCTCTGCTAAAGAAATAACTGGACAGCTGTGATCAAATCACGTTGGAAATATGACGTACTTAACAGCAAGATTACAAAGAAAATTATGAGTCGGAGATAATTCTAGAAGCAATTACAATTATTCTAGCGAGTTGATGCAATTACAGTTATTCTAGCTTCTACTCAGTGGATTTGACAATGTTTAGTTTTCTGCTCCGGAATTTACAGAAAAATTTCGAGTACATAGAAAGAACAGTAATGCATTAGTAGGCAATTCAGACAACATTAACTCCGATTTCCCAAACCTGGGGCTTTTGAAATAGAAGCAGTTTTGATAAGAGGATAAGAAATAATCTTAAAATGCTGTTTGTAACATGTAAATAGAAAGCTGTACACTATTTGTAGTAATAACAAATTTGTTAGAGAACTGCTTACAATCCTGCCACCTCAATAAGAAAGAATTTTTATTTTTCCACATTCTACTTCTGTTCCTATAAAGTTTTGTGTAGTGATTCCGACATGGATCATACCACGTTGTGTTCATTTTAACCTAACAGGAATACTTTATTATTATATGTCATAAATATAGTTGCAAAGAATTCTGTTGACTACCCACCATATCTTAAACTTTCTTTAATAAGACAACTCCAATTGTACATAAGATTCAGTGATCAATTTTACTGTATTTTTCTCTTTGAGAGGTGATAATAGTGGAGTAAAGAGCATAAAACTTTTTAAAGTAAGTTTAAGATTTTTAAATGTAATATATATTGCCAATTGCTTTCCAAAAGGTAACAGTTTTCACTTTTATTAGACAGGAGACCATCGAAATTAATCATACATAATTAGTAATGGAAAGATAGAAGCCTTTAAAAAGTTTTTGTCATGGCCAAATTCATTGTGAATATTTAACTCTTACTATAGGAGAGAGATAACTCCCAACCTCCTAGATATCAGATCTACCGAGTTCATGCCCCCTGAAATTGAAGAAAGCACAAAGGAAATAAAGAGTGGGAAAGGGAAAGGGCAGGAATGGTGTTATAGATTAAAAACTGGTAGTCAGTTTAGCCAGTAAAATTAAATCACGTTGCCAGCATAAATAGAGATGTGGAGAAGGAGAAAAGAGGTGTTGTGGGTTTCACTAAGTGTTGCTGTTTGAGCTGTTGGTTCCCTTGGAGGAGCTCTGGTCCTTACATCAAGCATTACTTCCTGGCTCTGGAGGGGAAGACTTGTGCCATGTGCCTTTAAATCTCCAGGACAAACTCATCACTGTGGCTTCCTGGCCTGTACCCCACTGTGCTTATCGTTGGAGGAGCACAGGACCTCCATGTCACTGAGGATGGTTGTGGTGTTTTTCAGAACGAACCTGGTCCTTGTTTTGAGTGTGACTTCTGAGCTCCAGCATAGAACACTCCCCGCTGGCATAGACTTTTTAACTTTCCACTGCTGACCCTGGGGCCTTCCCAGCACCGATCTGTAAAACCGACTGGTGTGAGTCCCTTTGGGCTCTAGACCTCCAGTTGGACTTGTGGGAGGCATTGTCTTGGGCTCTAGGTTTTTATATGGACTCATGTAGGACATTGCTGTAGGATTTGGGCCCTTTGCTGAATAGTCTGTCTTTGGTGTTGTGGATAGATTTCTTGCAGTTTCTTGTGTTAATTCTGGGTGACCATCATAAAATAATATGATAAATTCCGTGTCCTGATTTTAATTGTTCACCTCACAACTCCTGACTACAACAAATAGGGAGCGACAGGAGGGGGGTCTCAGGTGGATTGTTGCCAAGGTCATTGCTCCAAGAAAGTTTTATAGGCCGAAGTCATCAAGTGGGGGCAACATGGGGTGAAACTATAATCAACCAATCAAATTACAAGTATATCTGCTTATCTAATATAAAATAGGAAAGTAGCATACACGGTAAAGGCATATGGAAGGCATCATCAATTCTTAGGGAATGTAAATCTGGCCATTGTGACTTTAATCTGGAGGTTTTGATTTCTTCAGATGCACCTATAGTTACAATCTTGATGAGTCCTTATTTTCTACACTGACTTTCTTGAGAGCCCAGCTCCTTTTTGACTACATTAACTTACATCAGCTGGGTGTGGTGGCGTCCTCATGAGGCTGAGGCCAAAGGAGCATTGTGAATTCAAAGCCAGCCTGAACTACAAGGAAATCCTGTATCAAAAAAAGCTTTTTAAAATCTAATTTAGCTGCATATAATATTACCACTATAATATTACCAGAACTGTTAAAAACTAAGTCTTTTTAAGTAGTTTTAACGATGAGTGCCAGATTTTTTCCACTTGTATTATTTTACAATCAGAAAATTGCTTGTAGTAGATAACTTAAAAAATTTAGAAGTGTATTAACAAAATACCAAAGTCAGTAATTTTACCACCTATCATTATATACTGAATTAGTAAAATAACTGGTGAATTGATTTTCAGTGTCTCATTTCTAGGCATTTAAAAGATACAGATATAATTAAAAAAGAATGAGGCTGAGGCTGGAGGATGATGTGAATTGTGAGCTCAGTTTAATGCCAGCCCTTGCACACTAGCTTGTGCAAGATGGTGAGACCCTACCTTAAAAAAAGGTTTAGTATATATGAAGTTTATCTTCCTTTGTATATTTTAATAAACTATAAAATGTAATTATTGTGATAAAAATGTCAGTACAGAAACAATGCATTTCATTGCCATCTCTACCTTTATTCTTGTTTTCCATTACTAATCACAACTGAGAAACTTTTGTTATATGTGTATAATTTTTACAGGATTAAGTGAAGCTTTCCTTACTCCCCAGCCCCTCAAAACATCAAACGTTGCTTTAAGTTTGGCTGACATATTTATTGTTAACAGAAGGATTAAATAACATAACTGTTAGTTCTTAGTGGGAAATTGTTGTTTATTATAGTAATTTCATTACTTTTTAAATTTTAAATTATTTTTCTTTTTTTTTTTTTTTTTTTTTTTTTTTTGTCTTTTTCCTTTTTATCGGTACTGGGGATCGAACTCACGACTGCCTGCTTGCAAGACAGGTGTTTCTGCCGCTGAGCTAAATCCCCAGCCCCTAAATTTTAAATTATTAAGAGCAGTATTGATGAGGGACTAAGTTGTACCTATGTATAGAAATGAATTCAACCTTCTTATTTAAATTTTGTTGCAGTAAGAGTTTCCCCAAAATGGAAGGATCACTCTGGAGTGATTATTTGCACTTGTTTTCCTAAGCATATATACAATGTTATATTAGTGTGTGTGTGTCCAGGATCATAGAAAATATAGTGAATATTCATATTTAAAAAAAAAACTTACACAGTAAAGGATACATTGCCAAGAATGATGCCATAGGTGTTTGAAGCAAGAAGCAGTATTTTGGGAGGGCTTAATGGCAATGTGTTTTTTACTGTAGTATGTTGGTTAACTTAAATGTTAACCATATTTTATGATCATCTTTTATTGATCAAATGTTTATGGCAATTTATATCAAATGAGAACATTGCACCATGTCTGAATCTGGCACCCTGTGAATTCTGGCTTTTCCCTAAGGTCAAAATAATTAGCAAAGACAAGCATTTTGAATAGTTTATTCATCATAGCCATAGCAGTACAACTAAAGACACTCAAAAAAGAAGACTTACAGAAATGCTTCAGAAAGTGAGGAGAACAATGGGATATATGTATTTGGAGAAAGAGGAAATATTTTGGAGGATTAATGACAAGTTTTTTTTACTGTGATACTGTTCAAAAATTTTAAACATTCATTGGATTTTTTTGCTATTTATAGCTCATATATCATTTTATATTTGTATGTTTATTTATTCACTTATTTATTTGATTTTTTTGGGACAGGGTCTTGCTATGTAGTTCAGGCTGGCCTTGAACTCATGTATCCTGGACTGACCTCAAACTCAGTGATTCTCTTGCCTCAACCTCTAGTGTGCTGGGATTACAGGTGTCCACTATCACTCACAGCAATGTTTATTGTTTTTATTCACCAGACTACGCATTACCTTCTTGAAGGATGTACATTTCTATATCTTAATGGCATAAAACAGTGCTGTTCAATAGAAATACAGTATTATCCACTAACATGAGAACATACATAATTATATATTTCTTAACTGTTGTACTTCCCCAAAAAGGCTCCTGAGATGAAAAACAGGGCAAAACCCCTGAGATGGAAAAGATGGGGTAGAACGACATCGTTTTTAGGAAGAAGCGCTTTTATTTTAGCTGGCCCAGTGACACAGTGCAGATGGAATTTGCAAAGCTGTGCAACTGAGTTAGAGTTTTGACTGATTTTTATAGTTCATTTATGATTAGCTCATTGATCATTAAGTACATAGTAATGAGAAACAGACATAAGGTGGGCCTTTGTTCCCCTTTGATTGAGGTAAGAGGCATTTCACAGTGGGTGGTTAGCTAATTCATAGCCCTTGGTCTATCAATTCTAGGAACATTTGTCTCTCATCAAGGGAAACATGGTTGACACAGCATCATTTGTCTCTTACAAGGGGAAGGAACAAAAGTTGACATAGCACACAGGTCACTAAGGTGGGGGGAATGACGCATTACAGAACAGCAGAACTACGCAGTCAGTTAATTTATAACTGTGGTTGGTGCTTGGTTACTAGGGTAACGAGCTCTGTACAGAATGACAATATTGCTAATAACTATCTTTTTAAGTAACTATGTTTGCTAATTATCTTTTAATCAATTATTTTAATTTTTCAGCATCTTAGTATAACATT